CTCGCGGCTCGCGCCATGCTACTTCCATCGATAGGATGAGCAACATCCAATGAATCTTCGGCTAGAACATGGAAACATACACTACCTGGTTGAATCTTCGGCTAGAACATGGAAGTATACAGTACCTGCTTGAATATGGCCAACGAATCTATCCAAGTACTCTCTCTCTCTCTCTCTCTCTCTCTCTCTCTCTCTCCCCCCCGTCGTTCCCACTGCGCACAATTCGGTCATGTTACTCCCACCCTCCCCTCCTTCGCACTACCTCCTGCCTCCCCCTACCTCCTGTCTCTCTCTCTCTCTCTCTCTCTCTCCCCCCCGTCGTTCCCACTGCGCACAATTCGGTCATGGTACTCCCACCCTCCCCTCCTTCGCGCTACCTCCTGCCTCCCCCTACCTCCTGCCTGGGTGCCGCCCGAAACCGCTTTCCCGCCAACCGACACCCCCCCCCTCTTGCGATGCCGCCCGTGGCAGTAACCGGCAGGCCTCCCCTCGACCCGCCCTTTTTCATCCCGCGACCCTCCACCCCCATTTCCGCTGCAGCGCCCAGCCCTTCTGGACCATCGGCCTCCGCCTCCAGCCGCTCCCTTCCGAACCGTCGCTCTACGGCTCCGCCCGCATTTTCGCTGCCTCGCGTCCTCCTTGTCCCGCGCCCCTCCACTGCCGCGCCGGTTTCGGCTGGGCCCGGCGGGGGCGTCACGCTGGGCCCTTTGCTTGCTTTAAGGGTATAGAGAAGAGAAGTCCTGAGATAGTGTGGAAATCCGGACCGTCGGGCGGCCCGGATTGCCCAATGATGGGGTCCAGTCTCTCTCTCCCTCTCTCTCTCTCTCTCTCTCTCTCTCTCTCTCTCTCTCTGTGCGTCTCTCTCTCTGCATCTGTCTCACAAAACACACACAGACACACACGCCCACACAGACGCACACGCCCACACACTACGTTTGTGCGCGTGTGTGCATGCGTGCATTCGTTCGTGCGTGCGTGCATTGGTGGGTTGTAATGTTTGCTATAGACAACTCCACAAAAGAGCATGACTGAGCTAGACTGTTTCATTGACTTTCACTGACTTTTAACGACTCATCAGGAGGTTGAACCTCGACAATCTGCCGACGATGCATTTGCACGCTTGTGTGTTCGCATGCGCCCATGTGATGCCATGTTCGCATGTTCACTACACAACTCCACAAAAGCAAGATGCCTGAGAGAGAAAGACAGCGAGGAAGGTCTTCCACCGTGAGAAACAGTCGTCAGTCACACGACGGGGCCGAACGATGCAGAGCGTTGAGGAGTCTGCACGCCTAGAGACGTTTGTTGCTTCGCAATGCCCTATAGAGGCGTTGGACTGGAGTAGGGTGATGCCTGCCTAGAGTCGTCCGTCGGTTTCGCTAGGTCCAATAGAGGCGTTGGTTTGGAGTGTGGTGAGTGTGCCGCCCTGCAACGGGCCAATGGTTAGCAGGCGCCGGGGCGGTCCTTTTACGATGGCCCCTCTTTTCAAGGGGGGCGATGATCCAGGCCGCCGGTGGTCCTACCGGGCCAATAGCTCGGATCATCCCTCGATCTTAAGACTTTATGATCGCACGACGATCCAGGCGCCTGGATCGTAGTGGGCCAATGGTTAGCAGGTGCCGGGCCGGTCCTTTTACGATGGCCCCTCTTTTCAAGGGGGGCAGACGATCCAGGCCGCCGGTGGTCCTACCGGGCCAATACTTGGCCCAGCTATCAGTTGGGAAAAAATTATAGAGTAGAAACGTTTCTAGTTGGATGAATTTGGGCGCTCCCGTAGTGGCCCATACGTTTCCGAAAATCGCGTAGCGTTAATGCTACCCGACTTTAGGAAGTACTGGTGGTTTAAGACTTTATGATCGCACGACGATCCAGGCGCCTGGATCGTAGTGGGATCTTTAAGACTTAAGTCTTAAGATCGTGCCGAAATCCGGACCGTCGGGCCGGTAGGACCGTGGGTGGCCAGGATCGCCCAATTCCCGCGTTATCGATTTCTATAAGTGTAGGGAAGGCAATGACATTGAGATATCATCGGGTAAACAGCCCAGGTAATCCAGAATGATTTCATTCCATACCTCTAGGTCCATCAGGATTCGAACTTGGGTCTGTATTTCAAAAGTTCACGGGTGGACCAACTGAGACAGGGGGCTCCATTCTTTTGTTTGTCTTTTTTGTCATTTTTTGTAGTCAGGAGCGAGTATGCCATACGAGACCTTGGGTGATACCATTACTCTCTAGGTTACCGCTGCTGCATGGTCCAGCCAGGAAGCCATGGCTGGGCAGGCTCCATGAAATTACGGTTCATTCCGGGCAATGAAAAGGCCTGACAAGAAAAACAACCATGAAACATTGTTCGCTAGGAACTATTTACCGTCTGGTGGGGCGGTCGGGCATCACGGCCAGGGTTTCTGTCACTCAGGGTACCTCAGGGTACCAGGACACATAAAAGAAAGTTCAGGTAACATTCACTTTTCATTTCTTTTGGCGATGGGCCACCAACTTCTGCGCTCGGCCAAGAGGAGCCCGAAGTCCGCACGAACTTCTGCACTCGCCCGAGACGAGCCCAACGTCCGCTAGAGAAAGGGGGCAAGGGGGCAAGGGGGGAAGGGGTTTCAAGGCGGGTACATTAGTCTAATTTGTCATTTTTCCCAATCTTCAATTCCGTAATGAATTCAGCTGAAAGCCTGAATGTCATTTGCAATGCAAGTCTACACAACATCTTTTTTTTCATGCTGGACCTGCCCGAACCTCACTGAGGGGTGCAGGCCCAGGGCACGGATTTTATTCCTAAATTGTTTGTACTTTTTGCGATGCTGGTTTGAGGTGTTGGTGTTGGAAGTGGCGAGGTTGGGTGCGGGGGGATAAGTGCAGGGAGGAGGTGAAGACGTCACAGGAAGTTCATGCTGAGCTGGTGGAAGATCAGGATAAGGTGGGAAGAAGATCACAATGTGGCGGTGGAACAGTCGCAAAGTGGTAGGGGTGAGGTCCTGAAGAGTTACAAGGGTCAGTGTGTAGTAAAGTGGCGGGGGGCAGGAGGGGAGGTGAAGAAGAGTTCAGGTCAGGGAGGTTGCACTGAAGTGTGGGAAAGATTGAGAACAGGTGACAAGGTCACAACAAGGTGCGGGGAAGGTTGTGAACAGGTGTGTCACAATGAGGTGGGTGAAGGTTGGGATAAGGCGGAGGGAAGGTTGCAATGAGGTGGGAACATCATCCAAGGGGGGGAAATCGTTATGAGGTGAGGGGAAGGTCAGGAAGTCGCACTGAGCTCAAGGAAGGGTCACAAAAAGTTGGGGAGTTCACAATGAAGTAGGGGACAGGTCACAATGTCGTGATTTGAGGAGAAGAGGGGGGAGGGGGGACAGAATCATTGCGACTTGCCTCATTGCCAAAGGACGAAACAAGCTTTCCCCCAAATCCAAATGACACAGATGCAGGCCTCTTCATCCACTTTGGTGCCCGCTTCATTCCTGGTTCCAACAGACCAACCACGCATATCAAAATGGCTTAGTCTTTCCACTCCGAACTTGTTGTTTACCTTAAAAACAACATCTACGAATTTACTACACATTCAGTTACAACCGAAGATTTATGATTATATTTTGTTAACTGTTCGTATTTTGTTTGTTTCATCAATACGTTCTCAAATACCAGTCTCCATTATCTTCTTCATAGAATCAAAACCTATTTCAGTAAAAACCTGTATAAAAAATCGTCGTTCTTTTCTCTTTTTCTCACTCCTAATAGCAGCTTTTTTAACTCCTCCAGACATTTGGTTTCAATTTTTGTGTGTTTTACCTATTTGTGGTGTGATCCCTCGAACTGCACTATGCAAGATCAACATGGAAACACATAAGACCAGTGAACTACCATTGTTTATTCTACAAGCACTCTTGAGCATGTACCACTCCAACTCAGCAGAGAACATTTACAGTCCCAGCACTGCTCATGTAGCCCATGCGACAAAAGTGTCACATGGATGGATGAAATCCAGAGAGCCAAGGGTCGGCATCAAATTCGAACATTACATGATAATAATAAGACGTATACAACCAACCCCACAAAACCGCACAACTGGGAGTATCGACATTGCAGTGATCCTCTCAGATTTAACCTCCACTCAACATGTACGATGAAAGCTCACACAAGAATTCACACCAAACCAGAGATGGACACCAAAATCAGTGCAGCTCAGAAAGTTCAATGGATACTCATATTATACAAAATCAGAGTTCAGGTAACCAGCGCTGAGCAGCGCATGCAACAACTTCATCAGGTAGCAGCTATCCCTCTCTCTCTCTCACTTCTCTCTCTTCTCTCTCTCTGGTTTCTTTCTCACTATTTCTATCCCTCTCTCTCTCTCTCTCTCTCTCTCTCTCTCTCTCTCTCTCTCTCTCTATCTATCTATCTCTATCTATCTATCTATCTATCTATCTATCTGCTGCTACTAGGATCATAACACTGGATACATCCTTTCTACTTCAACTACAACTTCAGCTGTCGCAGCTATGGCCGCCATCTCCTTCACACGAGGATTCACACCAAACCAGAGATGGACACCAAAATCAGTGCAGCTCGGAAACTTCAATGGATACTCATATTATACAAATTCAGTGTCCAGGTAACCAGCACTAAGCATTGCATGCAGCAACTTGATCAGGTAGCGGCTATTCCTCTCTCTCTCACTTCTCTCTCTGGTTTCTCTCCCAACACCTGTATAGCTCTCTCTCTCTCTGTGTGTGTGTGTGTGTGTGTGTGTGTGTGTGTGTGTGCTACTACTGGGATCCTAACACTGGATAACTGGTGTGCCGCCAAGCAGGGCCCTCTGGCGCACGGCCCAAGCTGTGATGTCGCACAAGCCACCCACAGCGGTTCCACAGCTCACGCAGGACAATAGATGATGTGAGCTGCTTGTTGCAGCTATTAATAGTTGCTTGACTTGGCCTTGGTTTGCTTCTGAACGGTTTGGGTCGCCCACAGCCTGTCTGATCATGAATTTTGGTGGCCTGGGTACCTTCCAGACTTTTCCAGGGATGCTGCTGCAAAATTGAACCTTGGGCCTGGACTGTTCTTGTCGGCTACAAGCTGGACTTTTAAACCACCAGTACTTGGCCCAGCTATCGGCCGCGGAAAAAAATAGAGTAGAAACGTTTCTAGTTGGATGAATTTGGGCGCTCCTGTAGTGGCCCGTACGTTTCCAAAAGTCGCGTAGCGTTAACTGACCTTTCCAGAATGCTACTGGCTCAACATCTACTTACGACATTTCGGGCTCCTACAGACTAAGGACCCTAACGACCCTACCTGGGACTCGCCTACCAGAAAAGGAGAGAGACTGGAACCAACTGGGACTGGGACAATTTGGGACCCTGGAACTGGAACTCCGGGTGTCTGCAACGTGAAGTCCTTTCAACATTCATATATTGCACTCATTGCATGTGGCCGAGAAACACGCTGGCTGGCTCATTCTCACTGCTGCTTCTCAGAGAAGATTGGTTCCCCACTTTAGAAGCAGCACGCCCCAATGTGTAAGGGAGCAGAAGCTTCCATACCGTCCACTCTGAGACGACCATTACAAACTGAAGTATCGACATTCATACATTGGACCCATTGCATGTGACAAGAAACACTATCTGGCTGCCTGAACCAAGAAACACTAGCTGGCTGCCTGATTCCCACTGCTGCTCAGAGCAGAATGATTCACCAATAAAGAGAGCACACACTATCATGTGCGAGCAAGGAGAGCAGACTCCCCATTCCCGCCAGGTATGGCAGAGGTGAAGGGCAACACATCCAACTGGGAGGGGGATGTCGGGGGCAAATTGACCACAACACAACCTGTCTCTTATACACATCTAGATGTGTATAAGAGACAGTCACAACGGAGTTCGCGGGCAAATTGACCACAACACAACAGAGTTCAATGGAAAATTGACCACAACACAACAGAGTTCAATGGCAAATTGACCACAACACAACAGAGTTCGATGGCAAATTGACCACAACACAACAGAGTTCGACCTGATATCGCACCCTTGTCTGACAGTCCTACAGTTCTCATAACGAGAAAATATTAGACATACGAGACCACCATACCCACCAGGTATGAGGGCGATAGAACCTCCATTGCCATTGCCAGTGAAAGAAGTGATACCACAGCAACCACCCAGTGATAATCATCTCAGCTTTGACAACTCTTCACAATGGATCAGAAGGAAGATGCTCCTTGTGAAAAGGCTCCTGGAAAAAAGTCACCCATAACGAGCGATACCCAATGATACGATACCATACTCGTGGCGCACCTGTGCGCTGCGCCTATGTCTAATGCACGGTGCGCAGTGTGCAGATGTGTGATGTGTGTGTCGATGCCGTGCGCTGGCGCATACAGCTCCCCTTGGTGCACATGCACAGGTACGTTTTTTTGTGTGTGTGAGAAAGACACAGAGAGATGCTCAACGGCAGCTTGAAAACATTCAATGACACAATGCGACCTTGTCAACATTCCTTATCTCATGAACTTTCACAAGGGCACCATGAGTCCCAGAGTTTATCTAAGACGCCTTCCGGTTGCGATGCAGTCATGATGAGGGTGCGTGGGAAACGGTACCGTTAGCATGACCCTTGAGCAGATTGACAAAGCAAACAGGAAAAACAAAGAAAGCTACCTATGCGACAAAAGCATGCACCCCCACCTGACCTGAAATTTTACTTGCATAGAGAGAGAGACGTAGTTCGTGGAATCGACGCTACATCTCTCTCTCTCTCTCTCTCTCTCTCTCTCTCTCTCTCTCTCACACACACACACACACACACACACACACACACACACACACACACACCACTTTCAGCCCAAACATGAAATATTTTATTTGTCTTCTTTTTTCTTAGTTTTGCAAGGAATGAGCCTCGCGGAGCCATTATCAGAAATACAAATGTTCTGGGTTGTGCCCCCCAGCAATCTTCGTGCCCGCCCAAGTGAAGGTGGGGATGAATATCCACGTGAGGCCTGTTTTAGACATTTTTTCCATATGTGGGAACTCGGACAGTTGCAGCACGCCAGAAGGTTACTGAGCAACCTCAGCCTCCAGGCTCTTTCCAGAAGCAAAGGGCTGCGCTGTACAGTTGAGCCCAGGGCTCAGGCGGTTGCGCCCTGGGCACACGCTCTGTGAGGCTGACACATCACGGACTGGTTACGGGCCAATGAGCAAGCAGCTTTGTCGTCACACATGTGCCGCAAGCCAATGAGAATGCTGCAAACACTTGGAGGCTGGGTGTCTGCCTGGACGTGCCTAACTGCACAAGGCCCAGTCCAGTTTCTGAAAATGGGCCTGGACGCAGACACTTGGGGCCCAACTGAAGATACTGGGCCTCCCAACACGCCTGGCCAGGACAGCTATCAGCGACACACTTTCCATAAAGGGAACTGTGAGCAACCGAGAGGGGCAGTCTGGCCTTGGCAGGCAATGCGGACACACTGCTGCGTTGCTGCGCTAGTGTCTGCATGGGCGCTGCGGGACAGGTGCACGCACGGGCGCTGAGGTTAGAGGGGCGCTGCGAGGCAGCGGGCGCACAGCAGCCATAGCCGGGCTGCAAGGGCGCAATGCAGGGAATGGCAATTGTGGTCTTCGGGTACGAGGCGCATGAGGAGGTGATCAAGGGGTGACGAGGGGAGGGGAGAGAACATACTTGGTGTATGCTGGTGATCGGCATTGGTGTTGGCGTCACGTACATTGCTCTTCAACTTCGATGTGATCCAGTTGCTTGAACGTAGACAGGCTAAATAGGCTGAGTAGAGTAGCCCGGGCGCTGAGTGCCAGACAGTAGGAGCGACATTGGTTACAGTGTTGATGTGACCAGGAGTGTCGGCATTGGCACTTCGAGTTCTTTGTATTGCTCTTATGCGGATGGAATCTTCGTGCATTGTGCTTTCAGCTTGGAACATGACTATCTGGACTACTACGTGATATTGCACCTTGGATTTCCGTCTATCGCTCTCGCTCATATTCCTTGCAATTTGATATCAGAGCTGGTTCGTGATCGTCGTTACCGGCGCTGGCAACATTGTTACTTGGAGCGCTGACGAAGCTTCTACGCAGTGAGGATACATTGGCTCTGGCATGTTATGCCACTCCCGAGTAGAGGGGAGGCTGGCAGAAGGCTGTGGCGACAGCGGATGAATGTGGGATGATGAGAGCATGCTGACATGGCATTTTGGCTGAGGTGGCACTCCATTGCATTGTGTGTGGTACCGAGGCGATGACCGGTTCATCGAAATGCATGTCGGCTCAATTGGTGAGCAATCTGAGGTTGGGGGCATCTATCTTCAGGTACGTTGTTCCCCTACCTTATCTTCCCATTTCAATCTCTTCTTAATGTGAGGAAGTGAGTCCAACTTGAGTGTCCTCTTCTGGTTCAGGAGTTGAGAGCGGTCTACCTTGAGAGTCGACATTCTTCCTGGTGGCGCATCTGGAAG